TTAGACAGGTATCCAAGATGCTCTTTACATGGAGGAAATCTGAAACAATAACTTGTATACTAACCAAATGAATGTAAGCCCTCCCGTGGAGGGAGAGTGTCCGAAAGGCATTAGAAATTGAGAGTGAGAATTATTTACAGAGATGGTGGCTTGCCCAGATTCTATAGCTACTTTGTGATTCCTAAGCACTGGGCCAGCCAAAGTCTAGTCACTAAAATGATCTGATTTTATGGAGTTTGTGTTTCTTTCTAGTACTAACAAAAAACATGACTAGGGCCAGGAAGATGACTTAGTGGCTAAATGCTTGCTGCCAAGATTGATTACCTGAGTTCAATATTCACATAATGGAAGGAAAAAACTGATTCCCCAAAGCTGATCTGTCAAGTGCTGCCTTGATACATACCACCATACACACACCACCACACATACACACACACCAGCACCACATATATACACACACACCACACCACACATACACACACACCACCACTACCACACATATCACCAAACACACACCATACACAACACCTCTACACACACATATATCACCACACACACACTACACACACACTACCACACATACATACCACACACACACACACAGAGAAAGTACATAAATGTAAGATAATTAAAGTATGACTAATGTTGTAGTACTGGGGTATAGTGGTGACCTTTCTTAAAATGCCAAATTAATATTCAGTTATGTAAAGAGAGAAGAAACTGTCTAGTACTCAAGGCTTCTAGCTTGAGCTCTTCCTCCCCCCACCTCCCTGCCCAAGACAGGGTTTCTGTGTAGCTTTGTAGGCCAGGCTTTGATAAAGAATAAAAGACACACAGCCAGGGCTATATAGGAAGACCATGTCTCCAACAATAAGTAAATAAATAAAAATGAAAGTCACAAATGTGCAAAAATTCTCTAATTTGTTAAATGTGCTACAAAACAACAAAGCTTCTAGGACTACCTTCCATCAAACATCCAGTGGTTTCCAAGACTGGCTTCAGCCTCTCCCTTTAAGGCCCCACATTAACTTTGGTTAACTTTGGTACTTTGACCTCTTGCTTTGGTCATCGTCCACTGGGCTCATTTATTGAACTTGAAGGACCCCAGATGCTAATGACCTGGGACTTTGAGTTTCAGTATCTTTTTAAATTTGACACACTGTTTGCTTTGGATTGCCCTTTGACTAATATCTATCTTGACTCAACTACTTGTTTGGTGAAATTCTGCCTGGCCAGTCTCTTCCAGAACTTTAAGCACTCCCTTGACTCCATGACCTGCACACTCCACCTTATGGGCCCAAGGGCTGAGATTCTTGCAGTCTGTGGACATGTGCAACTCCTTTCTGTCCATGCAAATTATACATGCAATGTATCCTAATCATAGCTGCCCTGGGGGAATTGTGTGCCACACTGCAAATTTTCAGTGTTAGGAGCTTGGCTTTCCCTCTGAGATATTACACCGAGAAATAAGTCAGGGAACATAAGTCAGTGAGCAATTGGCCTTCAATGCAGAGCTCCAAGTTCTGTAATTTATTTATTTATTTATGGTTTTACAAGACAGGCTAGTCTCAAACTCACCGAAATCTGCCTACCTCTGCCTCCTGAGTGCTGGGGGATTAAATGTGTGCACCACCAACCCCTGGCTGGCCCAATTTTTAAGTTACTTTTGCAGTTTTTACTTTGGGAACAGGGGTTTATTAGTCTGTATTCAAGGTGACCTGGAACTCCTTACACAGATCACATCAGCCTTCAATCGACCCCTCCTGCTTCTGCTTGCCATGGGCTGAGATTACAGACATGTGCCTCTGTTGTGTATTAGTTTCCTTCCATCTGGAGAGACACCTCAGTAGTTAAGGGCACGTGTTCCAGAGGAGAACTTGTATTCACTTTCAGACATTCCCACTGAGTACCTACAGTTTCAGGGAATCTGTAGCCCTTCTCTGTAGGAAACAGGCACACAGTGGTGCACATGAATTCATGTAGGAAAACCACTAGTATATGTGAACTAACACAGAGAAAGAAAGAAAAATATCAGAAACAAAAGTCTTTGGAGAAACAGCAGAAGAGTCCTGGCTTGAGAAGAAATAAATAGTAGTCTAGAATAGCTTTACTACAGAAAGTCTCTAGGAAGATTCAAAATACTTTTTATTGCATGTGACACTGTGGGAAAGCATATGTTCAGAGAAAAAATTCATTAATTTGCACAAAAAATTTAACTTCAATCAAGTTATCACAAAATAACAAGGAGGCCCTGACCTGGGCCAGTAGGCCTCTGAGAGAGAGGATGAAGGGGTTCAGAAAGAAAAGGGATTGGAAAGTTTGGAATAGGAGGTCTTACACAAGCTATGTCCTATGCCAAGAAAGCTTATTAAGAGCTAGGTGTTGGTGGCGCTCGCCGTTAATCCCAGCACTGGGGAGACAGAAGCAGGAGGATCTCTGAGATTTCGAGACCAGCCTGGTCTACAAGAGCTAGTTCCAGGACAGACTCCAAAGCTACACAGAGAAACCCTGTCTCAAAAAAAAAAAAAAAAAAAAAAAAAAACAAACAAACAAACAAAAAAAAGCTTATTAGGTTATTAGGAAGTTAGGGGAGAAATAAGACAAAGTCAGCAGAAACTGTCATATATATAGGTCATAGCCAGCAGGGGTAACCAAAAATATTGTACAAAGGGAACACAGTTTCTCAAGAGCATTTCAGGCAGAGCAGACAGTGGCCTTGGGACTGATAACTTCAGTGTCTTCTGCAGGGAAAGTCAAGTTCCCAGGAAACAAAACCTTATATCCTTGGAGGCCCAGGCCTCATCCTCAAATTGGCCTTGCCAAGTTCACTCCTGCGCAAGGTCAAAGAAAGCCTTAGAACGATCACCTCTTAACAAGACCCAAGATGTGCTCCAAAAATCATGGCTGGCACTTTTCAAAGGCAAGAACTCTTAAGAGGCAAAGAGAGACAGCCTCAGAGTGAAGTGACACAGGAGTATTGGTTTCCACATGAACTGCCACACTGGGGAAGAATATTTGGGGTTTCTATACCTTTGAACTTTTCTTTTCCATGGTGGTCTTTACCCTAGGTCTTAAGGTAAAAACAAACTTAACCTCCCAGCCCTGCAGATTTCTCTAGAGCCCAGGTTATTTTAAAGAATGCATTTGAAGAACACATTCCATTTTTATTGAAGATCAACTCCAGGATTTGCATCAAAGATTTTTTACATTTCTTAGTTTGGAGCAGTGAGCACATGAGGGGCCACCAGAATGTCTTTTCTGTGGCTTCACACAGTGACACATCTCCACCACTAAAGGAAAATGGGCCACGTGGTCATCCAGGCTTCTCTCTGTGCTGCACACTTGGACAGCCATGAGAACTTGGAACCAAGCCCTGGAGAGCTCCTGGCACAGGGCTTCCCACTGTCTGGACAGTGACCTGAGGTAGGAAACTCAGCCTGTGGATGGAGGGGAGTCGGTCCAGCTGAAGAAATGGTGGGCACAGGGCCTGAGCTCCAGAGAAAGACTAAAGTGCAGGCAGGCTAGAAGAGCAGGCACCCATCATGATCCCAGGGAAAAGGCACGGGACAGGCAGCAGCCCAGGGCTCCCTTCCTCTCAGGCAACAGCGACCCTCAGCAGCTCTCCTGATTCAGCCCTTGCTGTGCACTTGACATCTCCCGGGTCTGTCTAGCAAGTCTCCACATTGCTCTCCTGGGACACTCGCCTTCCCCACTGGCTCTGTGTCTTCCTCTGCCACGAGCTCCCAGACGGTGACAGAGACTCTTTCCTAAGCCGTGTTCAAACACAGTTCCCCTGTCACTGACGCTGATGCTTGGACTTGAGATCGTGTGCTGCTACACCCATGCTTGCCCCTGAAATGCAACATGGCCACTTTGTTATCTGTTTCTAGAAAAGTGGAGTGGCCCTTGAGGAGGGAAAGTCTGTAGTTGAAGAGAGATTAGCAGTGTATACCAAGAGAAAAGGAGGCCAGCCCTGGGCACTGGTATGCAGACTCAGGCAAGTGACATGCATCTCTGAATACAACCGGATCATCAGATAATGATTAATAACCAAGACCCATGAAGCAGCAATTGTAACTAAATCACAAGTGGACACGTGGGGCTGTGAGTAAATCAGTGGCAGATGTCCTTGTTTGTGTATAAGATCTGTGAGTCTGAACTTGGCACAACGTAACAGTAATTCTCACTAGCTTGGAAATGACATTGGCAATGGTGACAAGGCCACTTTTCCACAGCAGTAACTGCACGGATGCACAGATGCATATAGACCCAGTGCATGCTGGGAAAGGCTGTTGATAGCCGTCCAGGTGAAGTTAAGTGTGAATTGTGAAATTCCTTTCTGTCCTTGAGCTCCCGATTAAAACGGGGCAAAGGTTAAGACAGATATCATGGTGTTATAGGATACTAGCTTGCTTCATTAGATAACATGAGCCGGGGCATTGTAACTTGGAATTCAACTTAGCCTGGAATTTGAGACAATGTATTAATTCTGCAAATTAGGGCTGCTTAACAACCTGTCTCCAAAGTCTGTAGTTTAAAGCAGCATTCTGTTATTATAGCTGAGGGTTGTGTGGGTTTACTCAGTTTAGGAAGGTCATAGTACTTAAGATTCTTATGCATACATTAAAAGCAAAAATAAGAAGAATAAAAGATTCTCATGCAGTTTTTCCTCCTTCCTTCCTCCTTCCTTCTTACCCCTCCACCAACCTGTGTGAGTGTGTGTTTCTCTATGTGTGTGTGTGAAAGAGAGATGGAGAGATGCCCAGTTCATATAGAGTTGTTTATAGAAGTATGTGTGGAGGCTGTTTACAGGAATGGAGGAACCACATTAGAGGACTCCAGATCTCCAGGGAGGCCTCTCCCCTGATTTGTCACGTTTCTAGTCTATCATGAAACATGGGATGCTTGAACTTGTGGGAGTCTGTGGGAGTGGCTATTCCCTATTAGTCCCCACCCTCTGCATAAGAATGGTCACCTTAGGAAAGTGACTTCCACACTCAGCTGGACTGGAGTTGAGGAGCTGAGGAGAGAAGAAGCCTGGGCTCTCACTAGGTCAGTTCTGTCTTTATAACCAGTGTAACTTGTCCAATGTCTGCATCACCCAGAACCAGATTTTCAGTGCTTTATTTAGCATGTGCTAATTGCACATAGTAACTGCCTTTATTGTGTAGTTTCTTCTTATGTATATGATATACGTTGATTGTATTCACTGTCATTACCATTGTTGTTATCTGCATTTGACTCTGGTTCGTATGAATCATTTCTCCTCCTCTTTTCCTTCTCTCTTTCTGTCCTGCCCATGTCTCCCCCCTCCTCCATCCCTCCTTCCCTTTCCTCCCTCCTTCCTCTGACCTGGCTGCAATCTTCCCTTCATCTGTTCCTTCCCTCTTTCCTCTTCTCCTCCTCCTCTGTTTTCTCCTTCTGCTTCTCTGTCTGTCCTTTCCTTCCCCCTCCTCCTCCAGTGTCACTGAGCTGACGGGTGGGGTTTAGTATATTTGCAAGGGACTCTGAATGCATGGATTTAGGACAGTGCAGAGTACATCTGGATTGTCCTCCCAGGCACACTGAAGATCCATAGCGTTCTTCTGTTGAATTTCCTGTGCCAACCTCACAGAGAACGTGCAGACTCTTCCCACTTGAGAATGATCAGAGCTTTATAATGCATCAGCTGTCAGGTTCTCATGAGGGCAGGGAGGCCAGAGTCTGAGGGCTAAGATTGGGTGACACTGACCTTGCAGCAGAAGTCACCTGGGCAGAACAAGCAGGGGCTTTCTTCCTGGGCTGTAAGGCTTCTCACCCATAGTCCTGGCTTAAACTGGCTGAGGTGATGGTGCTTGTGTTGAATTCTCAGGATAATGTGCATACCCTGCTGTTCTGTTAACTGATCCTTAAGTCTGTGGCCTGGACAGGATCTCAGCCCATATGGACCAGCGTCCAATTGAGTCCTCCTCCAGCCGTTATCATCCCTTGGCCTTGAAAACTGTCCAGTGTCCATAAAGAGTCAATCACACTCCTTCAAAAGTAGAAATGCATTTGTATATAAATCAGAAATGGGGTATTGAAAGGAAAAGAACGTGGGCTGAGAGGGCACAGATAATTTGTTCCATGTCTAAAGATTCTAGTCACACAGGCTTTGACATATGAATACAGTGAGAGGACATGTGCTCTGAAGCTAAAACCACCAGCAGCCTACACAGAGTGCATTAACCATTCCCTACCTGGAGGTCTGGAGCTGATGTGGGATTGACACTTGACATGTTGTGTTTCTAGAGGGATTTTCTTTCTGCCTCCTTTTGTTTCTTCAACTTAAACAGTATAGATTCTCTTTGCCTAAAGATGTTAAGTGTTGTGATCAAGAGAGATTGTGTGTCACCACTCTTGAAAAAAAAAAAAGAAGAAGAAGAAGTCCAGTGAGATAGTTAGAGGCAAGGGTGCTGATGGCCAAGACTGACGGACTGTGGTAAACCCGGAACATGGCGGCAAGAGAGAACTGATTCCAAGTTCCTCTCTGTCCTCTGTGTACTTACTGTCCAGTGTGTGCCCACATACACAGACACGCCAATAAATAAGTAAGCGATAAAAACACACTGTCTGTAAATATGTAACTGAAACCGTCCCTCTAAGTCTGAGCAATTGAACTCATCCTGGCTTTTCAGGGATCTTGTAAATTTTACAACCACACTCCTGATAGGTCCACCCCAACTCTACTGATGTGATTGTGTGATTATCTTTCTGTACCATTATTCTTAGAAGTAGGAATTACAGAACTTGATCTCAGCAGTAGAAAACATGGCCCCTAAGAAAATGTTTGGTAAGACGTAAAGGTGTTTTGACTTGTCTTGACTAGGGGTAGAAGGGATATAATAGTCTCTTGGAGGCTACTTGGTTAATAAACTACTTGCCCCGGATAGCTTCAAAGAACCAAAAATCACTTGGTCCAAATTAACAGTGTAGAATAGCCTTGAATCATGCAACTGAGAACTGCAGGCTTCTACGGCTAGTTCCAGTAACACCCACTTCTTACATCTTGTGCCAACCCTGAGTGTGAAGTCACTGCAGATGCACAAGAATGTAACTGCTTTTAAAGTCTTACTCCCAAGTACTTACGTCTTCCACACAAGAAACACCCATAGGGAGCTGTAGCAATGGCAGTGGTTAAGAGCACACGTTGACCTTCCAAAGGACAGGAGTTCAGTTCCCAAGATTCATACTAGGCTGCTCAGAGCAATGTCATTCCAGTTCTAGAGAATCCGATGGTCATTGTAGCTGCTGCACCTATGTGCACTTATACCCCTCCCACCACACACACACACACACACACACACACACACTTAAAAATGAAAAAGAATCAATTTTAAAGGACACTCTGAAGTTCCCTATCCTATCACTAGTTAAACACTTTACAGCCACTGAACAGCAAGGACCCAGTAAATTGTGCTACTGTGCAAGAAGTAAGCTCAGGGTTTCCTCATCACGTAACTATGTGCACATCTATCTCTGCTGTAAGTGTGCAACAGGGAAGGCTCCTTACCATCAAACTTGTGGTGATTAGATGAATTTCTAATGAGCAACTTGCGGTTATATCGTGTGCTCCAAAGGCAGTTACTTCCCTGTGATACAAAGTTAATGCATCAGCAACTCCCCTTCTGAGTCATAGAATAGGATCCAATCTAGCAGGGGAAACAGAACTGTAACTAAGAGATGAGCCCTTATGAGGGGGGAACTGGGGTTTGTCTCAGCCGGGTGACATGAAGGCATCAAAAGCTTCTGAACTGAGCAGCCCAGGAGTGAAGGACTGGGGAGGACTTTGTCTCATCCCCTTCCGTGATGGCTCTGCTTTCCAGCTTTGCTTTCCAGTTCTCAACAGGCTCCCAGGCTTTCATCACTATAGGGTATAGACTGCTCAGGCTATGTTCTCAAGGTGAAGGCATATGCCCACTAAGACTGTTTTGGTGCAAATGCATGTTGGTGGTCACTGACGGGGGAGAAATTAGTCAATAAGACCTGCAAGCCATCCATGAAGAAGGCCGACTACATTTCTCTAGTGTTGCATTATTAAACACATCTCAAAGCACAGTCTCCCCTGGGATTGATCTCTTTCTTTTTCATTCATAGTTAGTGAAACCACAGTTGCTGCCATGTCTGGGAAGCCCGTGCTTCACTACTTCAATGCCCGGGGCAGAATGGAGTGCATCAGGTGGCTCCTGGCTGCAGCAGGGGTGGAGGTAGGTGGTACATTGTTCTTCTGGAACTGGACCCAAGATAAGTTTAAAATACATTTCTAAGCTGAGAGACTCCACACCAGGAAAATTGTGAACAGTTTTGTGTTAAATGGTATTGTTGATGTATTGAGAAGGAGATGGACTGATTTGCACAAGTGAAGATTTTACTATGCTTTCTACCAAGAAAAACATTCAAATCAAACGATGTTTTTCGTTTTGTTGTTTTTGTTTTCTTTCTTTTTTTTTTCAGGAGAAAAAAAGCACATGCTTATTTGGTTAATTAGCTATTTGAGTAGAATCATTACATAATTAGACATACAGAAATAGAAACTTGAATATTGATTAGTAAGCAATACTAATTGTTATATTGCAGATTATGGTGTGATATTGTGGTTTTAGGAATGTGGCACTGTGCTTTTAAAAGGAGTACTTACATTTGGAGATTCACAGTAAAGTGTTTGTGATGGGGTCTGTCCGACACTAAGGTCAGTGTCGCAGAGAAGATGGGCACAGAGGTGAACAGGGTGAACTTTAGCTGGTGGTATTGGAGCTGGAGATGGATGGATCCAGGAGCCTCACATCAAGTGTGAGGTTTTACAGCACAGAACCAGAAAGTTCCAGGATAAAAAATGGCTTAAAGGGGACAGGAGACTCAAGTGTGGCTCAGTGGTGAAAATCCCCTACTGTTCTTGAAGAGGACCCACCCAGGCTACTCCCTACTGCCTGTTACTCTAGCTTAGAGGGCTCCCATGCATCTGATGACTACACTTGTGGGCACTCATGTGCTCCCGCACACACCCACACCCTCTTGAAGATAATAGAAAAAAATTAAAAGGGTAAATTATACTAAATAGTTAATCGAGTCAATTTTTAAATATACAACACAAATGTGAGGCCTGACACAGGGTTTTAGGGAAGTGCCTTTCAAAACAGAGCAAGACTCAGTAATCAGTGTGCAGAAAGTGTCAAGCCTGCCAGGCGCAGGACTGATAGAGAGGGTTTGGGTGGTGAATAAGACTGAGGTCTCATCCTCAGGTGGCCCCCGTGTCTAAGAGCTTTCTGTTCAGTGTGAGAGTGGCCCAAGTGAGTGTGGCAGCAATATTCTGAGGTTTTATGTTTCCTTTGCGCAGAAAATTCTGGTAGGCTTTTGTGCTGCCCTCTAGAGGAGTCACTGGGAAAAACACTTCCCAGTTTGCATCAGTTTATTGTAGGCACATCTCATCTGCCCCTCAATAAAGCCTTTCAACACCCAGAACCTACTGGTCTGTTTTGTAAGTGAACATCAAAGGGGACGGATTCATCAGATTATTTTCAAATTGGTTGTAGATTTTGGTCCCCAAGCTGAAGAAAATGTCCATGCTGTGCATATGAGATGAAAAGGCACCTGATTTACAACTGTGAAATATCTCAAATTTAAAGGATGTCCTCTCAATTGCATTATTAAGAAATGTGTGATCCAGTGCTGAGACTTCTCAGATCAGAATGGGAAAGGTGTAGCAAGTATTGGCATGATTGAGAGGGATTGTTGAGCACGGCAAACTCAAGTGTCAATACATCTGGGTTTTATTTTCTTGATCACAACAGTTTTAAGCCTTTCTGTGGTCAGACAATCAAAGGACTGTGTGGCAAGGATGCTTGGAAATGTAGGAGTGAAGGGTGTAAAACCTGCTGATTGTGTGTTTTTGCAGGACGTGGAGAATGGAAAGAAGGGGCGACTAGGATGTTCCCCAAAGATAGTGACGTCAAACAGATTTCCCTAACAACATATATACACATATGTATATATGTACATATATATGTTGAATTTAAAATTTTTATTTTATGTGTATGTGGTTTTGCCTGAATGGATGTGTGGTGCACCATGTGTGTGAGTCCAGGGCCCAAGGAGTACAGAAGAGGGTGTTGGATCCACCGGAACTGGAGTTACATACCACTGGAATTGAACCTAGGTCCTCTGGAAGAGCAGCCAGTACTCTTCGGCCCTGAGTCATTTTCTGCAGCCCCCAGATATAAAACTGAAAGATACTGATGGGGGAGGAAAATTGACCTAAGAAGTTTAGAGCATTGGCTGCTCTTCCAGAGGACCCAAGTTCAATTCCCAGCACCCACATAGTAGCTAACAACTATCTGTAATTCTAGTTCCAGAAGACCCACTGTCTTCTGGCATCTGAGGGCACCACTCATGAGTGTAGTGCACAGACATACATGCAGGCAAACACGCATGCACATAAAATATTGACTTTTTAAAAGATCTAGAAAAAGTGTATTAATCATTGGACTTTAAAACATTGAAAATATATTTTTCAAGTCTCAGAACTGAAAGAAGACTATTAAAATATGCAAAGATTTTTAAGCTATGTGGACACTTCAGAGGCTGCTATTGAGAAAGGAGATATATTCAGAATACAACCGATAAACTTAGTCTATATTCAGTATTGGTGCTTATACATAGAAGACATCAAGTTGGCAGGGAACAGTTGACAGCTATTTGGAGGATCTTGAAATTGAGCCAGCAAATGCAAAAGTACGATATACAAAGATCAAGGATGGTAAAGATGAAAAGAATATAATTGAACACTGGCTGATAGAGCCATCTAGGCAGAACTGTTTAAAGTGAATCCAAGGCAAAGACAAATAAAGAAAAGGAAGTGAATATAAAAAGGATTACATTTTGCTTACTTACTACTCACCAATTTTATAAAGGACAATGTAAGAGTTAGTCTACTACTATCTCTGACATAGTTCCATCATGCCATATATCCTCATTGTTTACAGATGAGAAGTACCTGGACCAACAGTTAGGGAGCCTCCACAGAAAAGACCCAGGTCCTCTGCATGTGTGTGACAGTTGTGTAGCTTGGTCTCTTTGTCAGGCTCCTAGCAGTGAGATCAGGAACTTAGCTGCCTTTGGGAACCTGTTCTACAGGCTGGATTAGTTGCCCAGCCTTGACATCACAGAACAAGCTCAGTCCTGCCTCAGCTTGATGTCCCAGGCTTTGTTCAAGCAGGTGGGAGTCCTGGCCCTTTCTGAATGGAAGAGGAGGAGTGAAAGGGGAAGAGTGGGTAGGTGGGAAGCAGGGACAGGGAGGCATCTGAGAAGAGAGGAGGGAGGGGAAACTGAGGTCGGTATGTAAAATAAATGGAGAAAAAAAGTTATTTAAATAAAGTAAAATAATAAAAAAGAGAAGTACCGAAATAGACCTCTTCTTAATAAAGTATCAGGAAAATAAGAAATGTAGATGTTTACCGACCCACACTATGTATCAGATTGGAGATACAGAAAGTTCTATTCTGTTCTCACTGGAGTTAACAGGCTTCCCTGAGAGCCCAAAAGCTCAACAGGCAATTTCCCAGTGCTGGTCCTCCAGTCACATCACTCCCTTCTTAGGACTTAAGCATGGACACAGTGAGGTCAGCGACGAGGAACACTGCAAGAATGGGCAGCTTTGTTGGGATCAACACTTTTGTTGATGGATCTAATCTGAATTCACAAGTGGCCATGATCAGACTCCTTTGTATCTACTGCAGGTTTTAACCTCTTCGTATGTATTGCCAGACAGGGACAACTCAAGTTTAAAAGTCTACAGTGGTACAGAATGAGCTAACAAGAATGCATTTACATTTTCTGCTTTCAGTTTGAAGAGAAGTTTATAGAACGCCCAGAAGATTTGGAAAAGTTAAAAAAAGGTAACACTCAGTATCTGTATGTCCTCATTGAGGAGCCCAGTAGAAGGTTTACCAGAAGGTGGTGTTGGAGGGCGGCAGTGGGTGGGTGGGTGGGAATAGTCAGGAATGCAGAGTGATAAAATGTAGAGGGTGGGGCTCCTTCGGTGCTCTGAAAATGGAAACACTGATAAGGGTGGGAAAGTTGGTTTTCTCCAAAAATGTGCCAAGTGGCTAGTTAACATGTTCTGTTATTTCTGTACCAGAGTGAGCTATCTCAGTCAGGTACTCTCACTCATTCAATCAGGGTTTCACATACACCGCCCTACAACCACACAAACACATGACCGTTGATTAAATCTTGGGTGGAGAACAGCGGGTTGATTTCTCTTGAGAATTTTTATTATACCTACTATCTGCCACCAATACAGGCTCACCACATAGGAACCTATCACACAACCCCTTAACATCACCAACACGATTAGACCTTCAAACTCTCTACTTATCTGTTTTCATGGTGGCTCTCTGCTGTCGCCCCTCCCCTTCCAAATGTATCCAGGGACATAAATTGAACATACAAACATGCATGAGAGATATAACATGTAACTGGATAGAATAAAGAGGAATCAAGGAGGCTCAAAAGCCAAAAGAGGTGGGGTGACACAAAGAAGGAACAGAAGCAAAAAGTAATTAGGATTTTACTTGAGAGACCGGCAACCAACCATTATCTTCCCTTTGCATGATCAGAAGTTTCAATACAACTTTTCTGGTCCTGGGAAGTGAGACTGGGACATCTCACAGACCTTTCTCCTTTCTTCTTGCAAAGATGGGAAGTTGATGTTTGAACAAGTGCCCATGGTGGAGATCGACGGCATGACGTTGGTACAGACCAGAGCCATTCTCAACTACATTGCCACCAAATATGACCTCAATGGAAAGGACGTGAAGGAGAGAGCCCTGTATGCTACATTTCCTGTTATTACCCCAAGGGGAAACAAAGGAAAGACTTGGGTCCCTCCACCAATGAGCAAGAGTGGCAGGGTTTGTGTCTAGGAGTGGCTGGTTATGGTATAAACACTTAGGTCAGGGATGGAAGAGTCTATAGAGGAGAGGGGAGAGCAAAGGGGATGGGTTCGAGTGATGTGACTACATCAGAGCATGATGCTGCCAGCACAGCTCAGGGACAGGAGTGCAAACATGATGGGCCAAAGGCCTTGAGCATGGTGGAATCATGACACCTGGTGCTCAAGGCTTCATTCAGTGCCTGGTCCTCAGCCAACATCGTAGGACAAAGGACACAGGATTTGAGGCTAGGGGAGGAATCCTAGGGAAGGAAGGGTGAAGGAACTGCTTCCAACATCCCAGGAATGGAACAGTGAAGAGCAAGACCTTGAATTTCCACCCAGTTCTATGGACTGGTCTATTGCGGTAAATAAGGATCAGGATAAACAAATAAGCCGAATAGATGTTTATTTAGGGAGAAATAACTTACAACCTAGACAGATGAACACCAGGAAATTTAACCCGATCCTCTCCTGTCCGAGTCACGCCAGAAAGAGAGCGCCTTCCTGGCCCCCTCAGACCTCCTTCCTCAGGTCACCTCCGCCCATCGCTCCACCCCCCAATGGGCGTGGTCAGTGCTACAGAAGGACTACCTCACTACAATCATTTCTAGAGCTTATATACTATCCTTCTGTGGTCTTTGAAGGAGTTAAGGACAGATAGTTATGATTATAGTTTTCCTTAATATTAAAGATAAGTTACATAAACTTTAAACACACAAAAATAGGATAGATAATAAAGTATTTTCTTCAAATCTTGCTAAATGTTAATAAACTAAATAATGTTAACTATGATTCTTATTTAATAACTGTTATGTGATATATTTTGCTATGTTAAGGTTAAAACCCTTGTTTTTATTTAGACAAAAAAAAAGAGATTATGGGAGATGTCATTCTGTATATGTTTCTCATACTGGTTAATAATAAAGCACTGTTGGCCAATAGGAAAGGAAGATAGGAGGGACTAGGAGACAGGGAGGAAATAGAAAGAGTAAGGAGGAGTCAAGATGGAGAGTCTGAAGAAAGCAGTATGCCGCCGGCTCCCCGGTAAGAGAAATACATAGATCAGCAGAAATGGGTTAATAATTATGGCAGAGCTAGCCGAGAAGAAACAAGTAACAGGGCCAACAACATTATATCTAATACAGAGTCTCTGTGTATTATTTGGGGCTGGCGGCATGGCGGCGGGACAAGACCAGCGGCAGCAGGCAAAAAAACCGTACTCGTTACACTGGTCAACTCAAGGAGACGTAGAGAGACTGGTCCTCAAGGATCAGGGTTAGCTGAAGCATATAATTCAGGACTAAAGCATCCAAGGTGACTGAACCACCCATGCTGGAACCCACTCTGCTTGACAAATCCTTCATTCATAAACCACTGTGTGGGAGTATATCTCAAAAGCTAAATGTGGTGCTGGCTAGCAACTCTAGTGTGGGAACTGTATGTCCATGGGAAACAGAGACTCAGCTGTGATAGTGCTTGTATGGAAATACTCCTAGCAGCACATTATTTATAATTTTATATGGTGGAATCAGCCAAGATATTCAATAATAGATGAAAGAGGAGTACAATGTATAACTTTACAATTACCTTTCAGTGTAAATTTCTCAGGATTTTAGATTAAATGGCAAAATAGTAAATCCCTGAAAACTCTTGGCCATTCTAATAACTTTGTCTTTCAGGATTGACATGTATGCAGAGGGTATTGCAGATCTGAGTGAATTGATCCTGCATTTGGTTGTAACACCCCCAGATCAAAAAGAAGCTAAGATTTCCTTGATAAAAGACAGAGCCAAAAACCGGTACTTGCCTGCCTTTGAAAAAGTAAGTACACTCTGAAGCCTGGGCACACTGAGTTCCAAGGACAAGAGAAAGGCAGAGGCTTGGAGAAAGTCACTGCAGCACTGACCTTCCATGAGCCTCCCTGTGCAGTTCCCTGCCCCACAGGACACTATAAAAATGGCCTGTGTTGGAACACTGCATGGTCATGCCAGTCAGGGGGGGCATACTCAACAGGGTTCATGGCCACAGCTAGAACTTGATCTGTGGAAGGCTGAGCCACCCCAGAGATGGACCTAGACCCTGCAGAGCACAATGGGTTTCAATTCCAGAGCAAACTGAAGAAAGTGACAGGTGGGGAGACACTCTGTGACATTACACAGGGAGGCCAGTGAGCGACTGGCTGTCAGGAGAATATGATAGCACTTCAAAGGTGGAGGAGAAGTTCCTGAACAAGGACAGTGATGGATGGAGAGGGGAGGGAGGAGGTGGATGAAGAGATGTTAAGGAAAGTGACATGCAGGAAATGGGGTCACAGATGCCTGGCTGAGAGGAGAGCCCCGCACACCCAGCAAACGAAGGCGTGTCAGTATAGATATAGGGCCTCTCCTAGTCAGGGCTTCTGTTTGGAGGTAGATCAAGAACACTTCAGAACTAACTTCTGTCAAGTAAAGGTAAGAACAAAGCTATCATCCTAGAGGAAACGGGCATCTTATACAGTCCAGAGAGACCCTGTTTACTGCTTAGAGGCTATGTAATCTGGGAGATTAGAGGCAAACTCAAGTCTTATGCAGTAGTCAACTTTATTTAGAGCATTAGACAATTTTTATTCTGAGGGTTAAGAGAAGTCACATGAGCAAAGTGTACGGTCACAAGAACAAGCCACATGTAGTGAATGGTCAAGTAGAAAGTGACAAAAACGTTTTTCCATAGAGGCATATAAACAAATAACAATGGCCTGTTGTAACGAATAATCTGAAATAGACTCACTCCTATCCACTACACCTAGAAATGGCAGGAGAGCATAATCCAAAATTGTAAAACAATTCTACAATTCTTGAAGAAACTGAGCTTATATGAATCTTGTCTTGGTTTCTTGGAGTTTTCTCACAAGCACTCAGAAATATCCTCTCGCAACTCCATTCTTGGACCATGTTCTAACAACCCCCTGACTGAAATTCCTGTTATAAATTGTCACATTATTTTTTCTTCATCCACTGAAAGTTCATGCACTTCTGCCTCTGCTCTGTGGAAGCAGTGAGGGTTTTAGGAGCCAGCAGGTCCTCACACAGCCCCCTGTAGTCTATGGTGCTGACAGCTAAGAGCCTGTCTCATAGGACACACTACCCATCTCAGCTTAAATCATGTCTCGTTGAAAACCATGAGCTCCCTGTTTACAATGAGCTATGCACTGAAGCACACTTGAGGCTTAATTTTACTTTTGAATGTTTGGCTTAGTTAGGGTTTTCATTGCTGTGAAGAGACACCATGTCCACGGCAACTTTTATAAAAGAAAACATTTAATTGGAGTGGTTCACAGTTTCAGAGGTTCAGTCCGTTATCATCATGGTGAGGAGCATGATGGCATGCAGGCAGACATGGTGCTGTCTACATCTTGTCTTTCAGGAAACAGGAAATCGACGGAATCACTGGGCACTATCCTGAGCATAGGAAACCTCAGATCCTCTCCCCACAGTGACACACTTCCTCCAGCAAGGCCACACCCACTCCAACAAAGTCACACCTCCTAATAGTGCCACTCCCTATAAGATAATGGGGGTCAATTACATCTAAAGTACCACAATGTGGTAATTATAACTCTTTTCTCAGTATACATGGACAATGTACAAGGCTTTTAACGGTTCTTTACTTGAATCTGAGTAGAGGCAGACTGTCCCCTTAGGAGACTTGGGAAAGATTAGTGATTCCAACCCAATTCTATGCATTCACCATCTGTCTCCATTAATTTTGCAGGTGCTGAAGAGCCATGGACAAGACTACCTTGTTGGCAACAGGCTGACCAGGGTGGACATTCACCTGCTGGAACTTCTCCTCTATGTTGAAGAGATTGACTCCAGCCTTCTGGCCCCTTTCCCCCTGCTGAAGGTGAGATCACTTCAGAGAGGCACACACACACACACACACACACACACACACACACACACATGCCTCTGAGAATAAGACGGTGGCCTGTGGGCTGCTGAGGTCCCACCCTCAGACCTCCAAACTGAGCTACTAGACCCTGGTTGGAGGCATGAAAAATAAATCTTTTTGTTTATGGAAAGTTGAGGGTGGTACCCCAAGAAGAATATTTTGCCTTTTGCAATGAGAAAGACACAGGACCCCACAGCTCTCTCTCTCTGGATCCCTGCTCCTTGCAGGCTGCTTGTGGACTTCATCATGTCCTGTCTGTGCACACTCAGTGTCTGAGCAGGTCCCTGTCATGCTCATCCCCTTCCTCAGCTCTGACTTCACAGCACTGTGCTTCCTTCTCCACAGCCCCCACCATGCTGTCTCCCAACCCAGGGACCCCGTCCTTATCCCCCATGTCAAAACTGGCTGTGAGTTGCTCCTGGCTAGACTTGGATATTTTCTGTCCCCATTTCCAACTCAGTTTTTCATGTCTTCCTTTGTCTTTGGTAGTCTCTCCTTTCACACCTGAGAGACACAGTGCTCTGTGCTCTGCCCCCCTGAACCAGATCTACACGGTGTGTCCAGGGTCCTTAGGAGAAGGTGTTGATGTCAAAGGAGGTCTTAAGGAAGATTGTGCTGACCTATGGTTTCTTGCTCATGGTTTTGTCATTCTTCTCGTGTCTACACTGAAGCTGTTGCAAGGAAGCAGATGCTCATGTTCTGGGAGGGGCTCAGATGTTTGCACTGTCCACATAACAGTTCTGACTCTCAGGCTGTGTTTTCTGGATTACAGGCCCTGAAGAGCAGACTCAGCAGTCTGCCCAATGTGAAGAAGTTCCTACAGCCTGGCAGCCAGAGAAAGCCTCCCACTGATGAGAAGAAAATCGAAGAGGCAAGGAAGATTTTCAAGTTTTAGTAAACTTCATTGACCAAGTCCTTGTATACCAGTCTCTGATGTTTTTCAAAAATGAGAAGCAACTGTGGACCCTGGGTATTTTAAAATAATAAACAAGAAGGATCATTGTATGTAGCTTATGTGTTTGAAGTGTGAGCTGGGATTCCTAGTATAAAGAAGGCAAACTAAAACCACTTCAATTGAATGCAAACTAGTCTGACTAGGGACCCCACCCTACAGCTCCCCCCCCAAACCCTGTTATCTACAAATAAACATTGATGCACATCAAGAGTTTAGAAAACAACACACCAAGTCCAAATTCAATAAAAGGAAATAAGTATTAAAATCAGGGCAGAAATTAATAAAATGAAGACAATAAACACAGTACAAAGAAGCAATTACTTTAAGAGCTGGTTTTTTTAAAAAAATAAGCAAGATTGATAGACTCTTAGCCAAACAAAACAAAAGAAAAATCAAGGAGAGCCAGGTCATCGAAACAGACAAGCAGGGAAATGTTACAACAGGCATCAGGGATTCAGAAAATGAGAAGGAAATACTTTTAAAAACACATAGCTCAGCAGGTAAGAGCACTGGCTGCTCTTCCAGAGAACTTGGCTTTGATCCCAGCACCCACATGTTGGCTTACAACTACCTGTAACTACAGTTCCAGGGGATTCCATGTCCCCTTCCAGCCTCTACAGACACCAGGCATGTACACAGTGCACAGACAGACATGCAAGCAAGCACTCATATATATAAAATAAGTAAATAAACAAATACTATACTTCCATCTTTGGGTTCCTATTGCTGTGAAAAGACACTATAAACATGGCAACTCCTACTAAGGTAAACATTTAATTGGCTAGCTTACAGTTTCACAGTTTTAGTCCATGGCACCAGGCAGATGTGGTACTGAAAAAGGAGCTGAGATCCTACATCTTGATCTGCAGGCAACAGGAAGTGGTCTGAGACACTGGTTAAGGCTTGAACACATAAGACAAGTTCTCGAAGCCCACTCCCACAGCAACACACTTCTGCCAACAAGGCCATACCTCCTAATAGTGCCATTCCCTTTGAGCTTATGGGAGCCATTTACGGCCAAACCACCACAACTCCATTAAGTTGGAAAACATAAAAGAAATACATTCTTAGATACATCTGAACCACCCAAAACGGAAGTAAGATGAGACTAATAAATTGATAACAAGTAAGGGACTTGAAACAGTAATAAAAGCCTTCTGGCTAAAAAATACTCAGGTCCAGATGGATCCACAGCAGAACTCTACAGACTTTCAGAGCCCTGCAACCAATACTTCTCAAATCAATCCAAAAGAAGAGAAGCAGAAGGAGCATTTCCAAACTCCTTTTACAAAGCCAGGGTTACTCAAATGCCAAAGCCAGGAAAAGACACAACCACAACCACAACCACAGACCAGGAGGATGTAGGCACATATGGACCAGCTGAAGAAGCTGGCTCTAACACCGCTGAAGGAATGGTGCATTCCTTTAATCCCAGCACTCAGGAGGCAGAAGCAGGCAGATCTCTGTGAGTTCGAGGTCAGCCTGGGAAGTTCCAGAGCAGCCAGGACTGTTATACAGAGAAACTATAAAAACAAAAATAATAATAACCATAGTAATAATTTTAATATAATTTATTTGGTAACAAATTGACATAAGTTAGTGCTCATGTAAACTAACATTGTTAAGTTGACCCAACTTCTTTTGGGCTCATAGTGAAACAAAAATTTTAAGGGAAAAGTCTCAACAGGTCCATATTTTAGCCAGGCCTAGGTGAGATACAACTCTAAACATTATATTTTGTCATTTCAAAACTGGAATGAAGGCTTACAAATATGTCTTAAAATTTATAGTGATCTTGAAATGTTACATCATAATGGGCCAATTATTCATCTGTTTTTTATTTCAAAGAAAGAAAAAATTGCTTAGGTCAGCCAGGTGTTGGTGGCATCTTTAGTTCCAGCACTTGGAAGGCAGAGGCAGGCAGATCTCTGTGAGTTCGAGGCCAGCATGGTCTATCTACAAAGTTCCAGGACAGGTTCCAAAGCTACATAGAAATCCTGTCTTGAAAAAAACAAAGAAAGAAACAAACAGGCAAAGAAAAATGGCTTAGGTCAAATACCTGTGAAATTTTTCGCATTCCTTCCACAGAGGAAAGCAGGTGACCCAAGTGATAAGTCACTAATGCTAAATGTTTCCCACTTTATGTAGTGCTGACGCAAAAGAAATTATCTTGGCTCAAATACATGGATTTGGGTTGCTCAAATAACATGTTCTAATGTGGAAAGGGTTATATGAATGTTTGTATTCATAGAACAAGAGAAATTCACCATTCAAGGCTTTTTATTTTTTCTAACAAATTGGTGGGAACATCGGGTAGGCAGCTGCAGCTGAACAGACTCTGATAGAGGAAATAGGTATTATCTAATGATGATATTAGGTTTTGAGTTCTTGAAGTTAGATGTCTATTGATGCCACTCAAGGGCTTTGACTGATATTGAAGAGGTGTTTGGTGAGACACTGAGGCAGACAATAGATAGCAAATGATAGACACCAAAGACAACTGAAGACAATCTGTCCTGGATCTGCAACATTAATGGTGGGTGCTAGACCTACACATCCAAGCAATATGTCAAGAGCCATGGCAGAGCATCTAGTCTTTGGAAATATGGTTCAGTATCAGGGGTGGAGCATCATGTGAGGCTCTAGGTTGAATCTCAGCAAAAAAAAAAAAAAAAAAAAAAAAAAAGAAAGAAAGAAAGAAAGAAAGAAAGAAGAAGGAAGGAAGGAAGGAAGAAGGAATGGGGAAAATCTGTGGCTCAGAACCTTTAAGTTCAAGAAGGCTGTATCTTAAAATAGCTTTAATAAGGGACAGAGAGATGGCTCTGGGGTTAAAAGTACTTATGCTCTTACAGAGAACAGGGTTTCAGTTCCCAGCAGCTCCTCGAAACTGCACTCTCTGCCTGAGGCATGGGGAAGGGGATCTGATACCCTCTTCTAGCCTCCCTGATACTGCATACATGCAGTGTACATACAAAGTAACAGTCACTCATATATACAAAATAAAAATATCTCTCTCTCTCTTTCTCTCTCTCTCTCTCTCTCTCTCTCAGTTTTTATAGGGCCGGTGGGATGGCTCAGTGTGTAAGGCACTTTTCACACAGTCCTGATGACCTGAGTTGGAACCCTAGGATTCACCTAAAGTTGGAATGAGAGAGCCAACTCGGTAAGTTATCCTCTGTCCTCCACAAATCTACTCCAACACCAGTGGGCTTGCACGCACGCACACGCACACGCACACACACGGCATGAGGTTTGAGAAGGCACTGTTAACTGAGATACTAACAAAAAGGAATTCAGCAGTAACTCATGCCTAGCTCCAACTCTTGAGCTCCCTTTCCCACCCTAATTATTACTTTCTTTTTCTATCTCTAAAATGCATGTTTACTAAAGTAATGCCCGAGGTTACACATGGAACTGGTCAAATCAGGACAGTACCCAAGGGTCAGCAGACAGGACCCTGCATACCACCTCTCTGATAGCTTCCAACTTGGAAGAATTCGAACACTCAAATCCCCAGGGACCCCTGCTAGTGTCAGGATTTACAGTCCCATGTCAGGGACTGCAACATCCCCCCAGTGTAAGTATCTCAGACATTTTAGCCAAATACAGTCACAGGTGTGCCAATGTATTTGCTCTGATAGGTGTGTTAGATGTTGGTGAGCCTGAAGCAGACTAATAGGTAGGGTGATTCCAAAGCATCAGGACTGGATCTGGTTCCCCATCATTCATAGACCCCATCCTGCTCTGTCGAGCTACCAACCATGAGCAGATGTGGTCAGAGACACAAGAGAAGCCAGGGTCCGAGTGAGCAGGAAGACACAAGAGAGCAGCCGCATGGGACAGAAAGAGGCAGGCTGAATGTGCTGGGCTGAGAGAGGGAGGCCAGGTAGGTAGGGATCCACCTGTGGGCAAAGCCAATTGGCTCCCTCCAGGTGTCTGCTGTCTTGGGGCATTTAGAACATCCAAGTAGAGAGAGTCCTACATTCTCACCTCTACTCAGACCTTGGGCACAAGTGAAGGTTTCTTCACCTCAGGTTTTCCAGCCTGGGTATCCTGGGCAATCTAGATTTCAGCCAACAACTATCTGCATGGCTTTCGTCCCAATAGAGCTGAGGTCTGTGCCCAGGATCTTCAATGTATGACCCTGGAGGATAGGCATAGAGTTGGGACTGCAGGACAGATTATATGGGAAGTAGAAATGGATGTCTATGAAACCATGGAGTCTTTGGGGATAAGGGAATCCTCAGAGCAGGTGCGGGTCCCATTAATAGCAGCCTCCCCTGACTCCAGATTCTTGACATGTGGTGTCCCTGGTCAGAGACAGCCCTAAATGGTTGGTTCATCAGCAGGAGACCTCTTCTGAATGTTCAGACTCTGGAGTCTTGAGTTATGCTGTAGGGATCTTAGATGGCGGGAGTGAATGTGAATGGGCAATGACTGAAAGAGAAGAATTAAGTACTGGCCAATAAGTCAGTAAACCTGGAACCATGGGTGTGTTGTGTGTGTGTGTGGGGGGGGTGTTGGAGAGATGGGAAGGAGAGGGCAAAAGGCACCATTTAGAAGAAGGTGGGGCCAGACAGGATCTTCTGAAGCCCCTTCTTTTCAGAGTAAGGAAGTGTCTGGTTTTCATACACGTTTCAGGCCCTTTTGTGATCTCCATCAGCAATTTCCAGTTTTCGTTGCCCCTGTGGCTTCTCTGTCCGTCCACCTGGAGTTGTGGGTCTTCAAGGGATTGTTTGGTGAGTGTGGCGGGAGATGGTGTCCTTGGAGAATAAGCTGGCTGAACATGGTCTGGTCATTGCTACCAAATTCCCTGGCCAGTGGGTGTCTCTGATCCAGCATCTCTTAGAATGGTAGACAAAGATGTCAGCGAAGTCTCGGTGGGCCCCACAAAAGTGCCCCTTCCCTTCGGGGCCTAGGATTACTTCTCCCATCTTAACCTGCTGTCTTCCTGGGGATTGCTGCTGCTGCTGCTGGCTGAATGTATCCTCTTCCCTTCCCAGGTTTGGAGAATGAACTGATGGTGGCCTTCCAGGACACCTACATGATTTATA